CAGGCACGGGTGTGTCCTTTAGGTGTGTGTGTGTGTGTGTGTGTGTGTGTGTACAAATAATAACGCACGGTAAAAGCATTGTCGTTACATGTTCTTCAGTCCACTGGAAACCAAATTGGTTCAGAACAAAGAGACAGGATGTTCAATAGAGCCGATTTCTCTTTGCAGTCTGCTAGTAAGCATGATGCAGTTTTTTCCTTTAACCCTCCCACTGTCCTGCTGGGTGTGACCCCACAAGGATAGTTGACCATTGAGCAGGATTGATGGTTTATCCCTTGGGTCCATGTGGCAGGGGTGAGGAGTGAGCACCACCTCACCCCTGCCACATGGACCTCAAGGGATAAACCATCAGCCCTGCTCAATGGTCAACTTTCCTCGCGGGGTCACCCATAAAGACAGTGGGAGGGTTAAATATTAAAGTTTCCCGCAAAAAATGGACTAAAAGGGAAAGTTCGGCCATTTTGAACTGTGTTTTATTTAGTGTGTTTTATGATAAGCAGCCCATGTCACGATCTGCCCCGGCCTCCCTGACTGTGTCGCTCCTGCCATAATTAGTCCTATTGTTCTCACCTGCCCCTCGTTAATATGCCCATGTGTTCCTAATTCTCCCTGTGTATTTATACCTCCCGTCCTGTACCTGTCTTCGTTGGATCATTGAATGTGCATGTCCTCGTTTGTCCTGTCGCTTCCGGTTACTATTACATCCATTTTTATTTCATCCGTGCCTGCTCTCCTGCCTCCTGAACCCTCCACCACACATGGTCTGCCATCTCCACCCTCACCTCATAACAGCCCGGTCCTGGAACATATTTGTAAAGATAAATAAAACTATTGTTCTAAAACATTTCAAATCATTTTATCAAAAAGAAAAGAAAACAAAAGAAAAGAAAAGTAACTATATGGGTACTTTTATTTCATCAGTTCCCGGGTTAGGATTAGTCCTAACCCGGGAACTGATGAAGTAAAAGTACCCATATAGTTTCATATATAGAAAAGATTAGAAAGCACAAAATTAAATAAATTTTCTAAATACAAAACAGTTTTTCACGGACCTAAATAATAAGTAAATGAAGAAATAACAACAACAGTTCCAAAGAGAAAGAAAACAAAAAGAGTGGTTTAAAAAAGCACAACAGCACTTCAGGGATGACGTGTTTCAGTATTTCTGAGATAATCTTGAAACGGTTCGCCTTCATTCTCGAAATCTGGACAAAGAATTTCTAGCAAGTCGGTTTTGCTTACATGGACCCAACTCCAGAGTTTATAACTACCATCTAAAAATGACTACAATCATTCAAATACAAAATGGTTTGATCAAATGTAATGTTGACGCTTTTAGTCCCTAAACTCAGATTTCCTTAATCCTGAACATTCAAAAACACGATGATTCTCTCTGATCTTTACACAGATGCAAACGTCACATTAGCCGAAAGAACCCTTCAGGTCCTTTCATCTCACGCACTGCAGTCTTGCTCAAGGTGTTCTGCGGGGCTGAAAGGACAGCTGCAGCTGTTTAAAACATCCGTGGTAGAAATCCGTTTAGAAATGGAAATATTTTAACAAGTGATGGGATTCCAAAACATAAATGATGACATTCTTCTTTAAACTTTAACCGTGGCTGCATGGTGGCACCGCTAACATCAAAAACCATGACTGGAGACTTAATGTCCCTGGTTGTCTTTGCGTGTCCCTGTGATGGACTGGAGAAGAGTGACGTGATCAGGGTGTCCCCGCCTCATGGACGTTGGAACCAGCTCCCACCATACTGTTGAGGCTGAAGCGGTTCAGAAGCTGGATAAAACGTTTGATTGTGCCCTGCATTAATCCCCATTTAAATGTGCTGCTGTGAGAGAGCCTCTGCATCAGGACACATCCTGCTGTGACGTGCTCGTGTGATCAGCAGCTGCATGAAAAGTTAAACTGGGGATGTTCTCGGGAATATTTCCTCTACGATATTTAAAAACTGAATCGAGCCACGTTCATTGACCCTGCCTTTTTCTTCACATGTTTAGCTTTTACTGGTGTTTGTCTCTCTGTGCTTGACTGACTCGAGCTGTTCCCGGGATGAGGGTAGACCAGGCCATACACAGCAGGTGCCACAGTGTGTGATGAATCAGCTGTCACAGTTCTCAGAGGGGAAGTTCTTCTTTGTGAAGACCGCCAGGCCTTTTCTCATCAACCCCGGCACACAGAAGACACCGAGCTTCGTCTGAGGGTGTGCTGGCTTCAGAATGATCATTTTAAGAATAGAAGAGATGAGCTCATGAGTGATTGGTCAGATCTGAACCGGTGCGTGCTTTGATGTATGGCAACATTTACGTGTCATATTGGATCGTGCATTAAAACTGTGGAGCGTGGGAGGACCGTGAAGCACAGAAAATGAAAACTGGCTCTCTTTGTATTCTAACGTCATGTGTTTTGTTTTTGTTGTTTGTAACAATAACTTTAGTGTTATTACTCAGCCAGGAACTAGTGGGTCCAAAAGCATGGCAACAATGAGCGCCAACAACATTTCTGTTGCCAAGGAGACGGGTGCCTGACTAAGCCCATCTGTTTGTGTCCCTGCTCGAGATGACGTGCACACTGGCATGCTAGCAATATCGACCATGATGTAAACCTGCGTAGCAATAAATAATAACCTGGCCTGACTGAAATCATGTTGTTTCCCTCCATGGATTAACAGAGATGAGTGATTGTCATGCAGTCCACCGAGCTCAGACGCAGAATTCTCTGTGTCCATCTGTGTCTGTAGCTGCTGCTGAGACGAGAGCTATTGCTGCTCCTGCCTCCAGAGGAGGAACCTCGGCATCTTTTATCTGTTCTAATTGGAGAAAGGAAAAAGGAAAGTTTGGAGGCTGCTGTAATTGTTTGGATAAGCCCGGCTTTTCTGCTCCCCCACATCAGCTTCCTTCAGTCCCTCTCACAAAAACACAACAATATTCAAACAAACCAGGGTTTCTACGATTTCTCTTTGTCTTTTTGAGCACATGCTTCAGTTTTGAGCCCTTTCCTTTGTTTCTGTTTGCATCTTTCCTCCGTTCTATTGCAGTGTTCCAGATCCAGATTCTCACCGCAGCATCCAAGTCACAGTTCATCAGCCCGGTCACTTAACGTGGCTGTTTCCTTTTTGACGTTATCAGTTCGGTGGGTTTGTTAACAGCTTTTATATTCCTCTGCTAATAACATTAAAATACTTCCTCACGTTTACGAACTCGTGTTTCAGATAGCACAAACACATTTCCTCCACTAACATCTCACGAGTTTACTAACAAAATATAATCGGATGTTGCCGAGCAGAAACCTGCGGAGAGACACCAAAGCATCTTTGCTCACCTTAACAAGGTTTTTCATACAAATAACCAACCCAGCTGTGTTTCCTAATCAGCAGAACACTCAGGCTTGCATCGACCGGGCAAGAGTCCCACAACACTTTCAACCAACTATCTAGTTCCACTCATCGCTTGGCAATGTAGGCTGTTGGCAACCAATGCAGCTGCAGCCACACAGAGCTGGATAATACGGTTGTCTTCTGTTTTTGCCTTGTCACACTGAAATGTTTCAAAGCAGAAAACACATTTATTGTCAGGAAAAAAGTCATTAACTGATCTCAAAATTAAGTTTTCCAATGATCATTTCATTTATTAGAGGAAAAAGCTTTCCAACCCAGTCTGGGCCTGTGTGAAAACCAGTTGACCTCTTAATTTCAGAAGTGGTTTTAACACCCTTGGCAGCAAAAGCTGCAGCCAAGCATTTGTGATGACTCTTTCTCTGACAGCTGTTTTAATTCAGTCACTTTGGTGGTTTTTCAGACATGATTGGCCTGTTTAAGGTCAGCAGTCAGACATTTACTTAAGGATTGTTTGGCATCTTTCATGGTTTCTATGAATTACAACAAGTGGTCCAGGTCCTGAAACAGCAAAACAGCCCTTGATGTAACAGGACACACCAGATATTTCCCCCAGACCTTGGGGACTTTTTAGATGCTTTAGCACTTTAGACAAATGTGAGCCAGTGCCTTGTGCTAGTTTTGTTCAGCAGAGCTCTTGTTGAGTCATGACCCTTTCATAACAAGTCACTAATTCAAACTCCTCAGTGATGTAAATGTGCTAATTGCCTGGCTGAGAAAAATAGTTGAAATATAAAAGACTGGTATTTACCAGAAAGTCTGTTGAATGTAAAATTATTATTATTATTTATTTATTTGTTTGTTTATTATTTAATTGTTATTATTATTATTATTATTTATTATTATTGTTGTTAATTTATTATTATTATTATTATTATTATTATTATTATTATTATTATTATTATTTGCATCGCCAAATAACACTGAATTTAAACACAACTACGGCTCTTGAAAATGGTTTATGGAAATGTTCTCTCAAACTAGCCTGGGAGCTAACTAGCTTTACTTAATATTTTAGCTAAACTAAGCATTTGTTATATTATGTATCTGTATTTATTTGTGTCTGTTCCTCCCAGATCTCATCTGCTAATGACCTCCAAACCAGATTCAGCATGACATCTTAAGTCCTGCCCTTCAGATGAGCATCAAGGAGGAGAACGTAGAGTCCTGAAGTTGCCAAGGCAATGGCTGAAGCAGCTCCTTTACCTCTCTCCCCATTTGACCATGCGGTCTATTCCCCGCCTCCTGACCTGTGTGCATCATGTGGCCTCAGTCACAAGTTGGAGGAGAATCATGAGTTTGTGTATCAGGAAGAGGTGGACGATGACCTTGTGTGTCACATCTGTCTGCAGCCGCTCATCAGGCCTCTGGACACGCCTTGCGGGCACACCTACTGCCAGGAGTGCCTCACCAGTTTCCTGCTGGAGAGCGATTTTTGCCCCGTGTGCCGGACTCCCCTCATGCTGCAGAGCTGCAGGAGGCCTAGCCTGCTGGTACACAAGCTGCTGGACAAGCTGACTGTAGCCTGTCCCTTCACTGACTATTGCACTGAGACACTGCCTCGTGGTGATCTGGAAAACCACATCAAAAACAGGTAGGTTGGCAGAAGCTGTCCCATTCATATCAACAGATTAGAGCTTCTCTTGTTGGTTCTCTGTAACCACTACATGTCCTAAATGTTCGCTTCGGTAAACGGCCTGTGTTCGATATAGCACCTTCTGGAGTCCTGGAACCCCCCAAGGCGCTTTACAACACAATCAGTCATTCACCCATTCACACACACATTCACACACTGGTGGTGATGAGCTACAATGTAGCCACAGCTGCCCTGGGGCGCACTGACAGAGGCGAGTCTGCCGTACACAGGCTCCACCGGTCCATTCGACCACCAGCAGCAGGCTAGGTGGGTTAAGTGTCTTGCCCAAGGACACAACGACAGACAGACTGAGAGGGGCTGGAACCTGCAACCTTCCGATTACGGGGCGAGCACTTAACTCCTGTGCCACCGTTGCCTATCTTTCATCATTTTTCCTACTAGCTGTGAGTTTTCTCCTCACAGAACACTGGACACCCATTACCTTCTGCTTTTAGTCAATCTTGGTCTAATGAGGTGACAAAGTGGCAGGAAATGGCTGCTGTAGCCGATTGCCAAACGCCGAACTGTTGTCAGTTTTACATTCAGCTAAAACATGGTGCAGGGGCAACTGAGAGTGGTTTACAACCCATCCTCTGAGACCCTGCACAAACAAAGCCAGGTCGCCCGTTCACACAAAAGTGAAGCTATACAGCACCAAACTCTTTCAGAAACTCAGACCAAGTGGAGATTTGTGAATTCTCCGTTGTCAGGTAAGCATTTGCTTGTGGATTTGTGGAGTTTGAGGTTTGCAACGTTGCCACACATGACAAAAGCGCTGTGACATCACACGTGCAACCTGTGTTTACGCTAGCTTGTTTTTACAGACTTGCTTACATGTAAAAGAGCACAGGTGAAGAAAGACGCTGAAGATGGTTCTTGCCACCATTTAGTAATTCCACATCCAAAGAACATTTTTCAACAAAGACGCTGAAGAGCTGCTGCCATCTGACAGACTTGGCATGACTATGAATGTGTTAGGTTTCCCAACACAAGCTGACCTCAGTTTAGAACAGGCAACATTCATTTATTCAATTCCTATGACTTCAATTATAACTTCAATGAAAAATGCACTAAATAAATAAATGGTAACATTTAAGGTTCCTTTCTTTAGCGTTACCGTAACTGTTTACCGGTGTTGGGAGTAACGGCGTTCCTAAGGGCTTGCTTTTATAGGTACCGGAGCAATCTAATGAATCACCTTTCTCACTGTTGCAACGCCGTTACCGGTTAGCTTCAGTGGCGCGTGGCTGTTATGTGATTGAATGAAGCACAGCAGCGTTGGCCGGCTGCTCACAGCCACAGCAGTGATGTACCATTCACCTGGTCGAGCGACACAGACTCCCCCTATCCCACTATGAGCCGGTAAGAAACTGCAAAGTTGGTATTACATAACATAATATGGGTAAGCAGTTGTTAATATTTTATTTATTAGTTTATTAATGCCTAATCGTGCAATAAGTAGTGTTCCTAAAGGGGCCCTTATTGTAAAGTGTTACCAAATAAATGAACATTTTGACATTATGTCAGAGTTGATAGATAAAGCAGAAATGGAAAGCAAAGTCAAGAGGAGGGATTGTGTTTGTGTGTGGGTTAGGGTTTTTATTTGTTTGACTGTATGAAACGATTCATGTCGTGCTGGCTTCTGTTCTCACAAGCCCACTGTACTTTAGCACTGTAAAGAGTTTAATTTACATATTCAATGAACCATAAGACATGAGATTCTATAGCAAATATGAAATCAATCTTCTGTGGGTGCTTTTAACCAGAAGATTGGAACTTTTTATTGCAGGGATTAGGTAACACTTGTATTCACTCAGAGACAAAAGAAAGAGAGTCAAGTTTTAAAAGTTTAAAGATTTATTACTAAACAAATGAAAACTAGACTAACTTTAACACTAAATGTATGGTGTAACTAAGGTGAAGTGAGACGGAGAACGGTGTAGTGTGGAATGTTGCTCAGAACCAGCAGATCCGGAGAAACGGTTAGTTCTGATGGGAGTGAAGGTGATGTCTGATGTGTGCGTTCCCTCTCTGGAACCGAAGCGGGTAGGAAAAGCAGCGGTTGCCGACCAGACCAGTCTTGAGATACTTCCGGGTCACGACAGTTTGTTGGCATCTAGCGAGACCCAAAACGGGGTTGGTGATGGTTCCGCTTTTATTCTGAAAGGAGCCGTTGCAGCAGGTGGAACAGCATCTGGTTTTATCCAGCTTGTCGTTGGTTCTTTCGGCTGAAGAGGAAAGTTACGGATTGGCCACTCCGACAACTTCTCTAGAACGCTTTGAACTGGCGTTAAGATGACGTGGGCATAGTTTTATACTTCGGATGTTTTGGTTTACGGTCGAATGAAAAGATGACAGATTTACCAAACACCACCAAAACCACGCCTCCGTCAGATCTGGCATGAACAATGTGTCATGTGGCTTAACTTTACGTGTGATCCGTCTCTAGTGGAAACATTTAAAGTTATATTACTTTTTATATTCTGTAGGATTATAATATCAAGTAATTAATATTTTCATTTCACAGATTGGTTCACATTTTATTATTGACCAACACTTTGTTTGATTAGCTTATTAAAAATAGAGTTCTTTGATTTTATTAAAAAGAACGAGTCCTTTGTCTTCATTCTTCTCTTGGGCGGGAAAGGAAAACAGTTCAGGAGCAGATGCATGAGACCTTGGGGCAATATCTCATGCAGACTAGTTCTTGCTGAGGAGAGGGGGAAATGACTTTTAGGTGGAAAACGGTCATTTCATTCCGCTACAGCACCTATTTTTAGTTGTCTGTCCCTTCATCTGTTATTGCTGCCTGCCAAAAACTAAATCCACACGACCTGCTCAAAGTTTCCCTCCTTCATTGGCCCGTCATCCTCATTAGCCAGCAGCTCCAGTCCCAAATGACCACAGCTCCTTCTCCCAGCAGCTTCCTTCGTGCAGGCCCGACTCATCTGCTTACATATCATTAAAACAGAGCACTTTGGTTTCTCTCAGTGTGGGTCTGCTTGCATTAGTGCTCATTAACACTCCCCCCGGCCCAAACACTGCTGGGATAATGATTGCATCTCACCAAACATCATAGAGAGGAAGCAGAGAGGTTTCATTTCATTTGCATGTACATTTTTTCATTAATTCAGAAATCTTAAAACGAATATTTCCCCCGTTTTTATTCGCTTCACCGCTCCTCTCCTTTCACGCCGTCCTTCCTGCTCTGTCTTTTTTCTCGGTGGATTTTTTCTCCTCTCACTCTCGTGTAGTGTGAATGTTGTAATGAGGTGTGGATCTCTGAGGCCGTCTCCCAGAAGGACTCAGCTGCTCTCCAATAGTTAGAGAGAATGATCTGCAGAGGTGAGAGGCCGCCTCCGCAGAGATGACCCAACACGCCGCGTGCAAGGATGTGAAAAGGTTTCTGTGAACATTTCTATCATGCTTCAGTGAAAGTGGCTGCACATAAAATATTCCTTCAGTAGAGCTGGAAACAAACCCACGATGCTGGTTCTGATTCTTGGAATAACACCACTTTTGAAGCAGCGTCTGGTTGATGTTGGACGGGAGGAGGCAATCAGTGTAAATAATTATTACGGTATCCTGGCCGGGGAAGTCAAGTGGTGAAAGGCATCAAGTAAATGTCAGATTTAAACACAAGATTAGTACTAATGTCTGGTTTTCTAAACATTTTTTATCCTGTCAACAAAACCATCAAACTTGTACCAAATGGGTTTAATTAGCCCAAAAACAGAACAGAGATCAGCTTTGACATTACAGAGCCATTGTTCCGTTACCTCTGCAGTACTGAGCTACAAAATGTGTTTTTTGGGTTTAATTGGTAACGACAGGAGTCAGGCTGTATTCATTCAGTGTTTTTAAGCATTTTAATAAACCAAAACTTGCAGAATTTGAACACGTTTGTTTGAAACAGAACTCGGCTCAGATTTGTTGGCGTATTACACCGACGATGATGGACACTCAAAGCGAGCATTATGGTAACAAATCCAGCCTAAACAACAGAGATAAGTTCACCGTCTGCGTGCATGACATCACTTTTCTGTCTGTCTGTGTTTCTGGGCACTAATGGTAACTCACTGCGTCCTCTCTGCCTGAGACCTGGCGGTGAGTCAAGCGCTGGAAGAGCTGAAACTCCCATCTGGTCAGGGTGGAAATCATACTAATAAAACGACTCATGACCTTTACTGACCTCTGAATGCAGGGACTTCGTTTTTGATGTATCCAAGGCAACCAGTGTTTTTTTACACACGTTGTCAGAATTGGCTTGTATTTCTTTTAATGCTTAAATAAAGGGATGTGTTGTCAATGATGCTTCAAACTGGGATTTAAACTGATTTTTCTTATTATTTCTAAACCAAATTTTTATTCTAAACAAACATGCTAAACTTACAAATCATCCAGCATAAAGTCAGCAACGCACACAACAAAGATACCTTCAGCCTCCTGAAAACATTCTCTTGTTTGCTGGTCTGGAGGCATATCTGTCAGCAAGCGTAAACGTCCATGAACGCATGTGAATCCACCAGCCCGCTCAGTAGCTACGCTTTTCCCCTCCCACTGTCTGCTTCTCAGTGTCGGATTCACAAAGCCATCAGTGCTAATTGTATGCTGGTGGTAGAAGTTCAGCAGGTTTGAACAATTTGCACTCTGCACAAACAAAATCTGGACAGCAGGGACAAAAAGTTGAAGTAAAAGAGAAAAGTTGTTTCTGCGTGAGCTGAGAGGTGTTGAGGAACAAGACTCAAGTCGCTCCTGGAGGATTACATTCATACATCAAAAGAAACTTTGTTCTTCCCACACATTCGTCTTTCTGGATTCATAGAAAAAAAGAACAAAATGGATTATTGACTTTATTTCCGTTCAGATGGGTGTGTGTTGTGTCCTCTCAGTTGGAGCGACGGCGACCGGAGTGCACACCGGAGGGTTGCAGGTTCAAACCCTGTCTGCTGCGGCAA